AGAGGGGGAGGATCACCTTCTTGGCCCTGCTTGTGATGCATCTGTGGATGCACAACAAGGTACGGTTAGCCCTACTGACCGTGCCTCGCATTGTTGGCCCGTGTTCATCTTGGAGTCAGTAATGACTCCAAGATCTCTTTCTGTCACTGTGCTTTTGAGAAGGGAGTTCCCCAGCCTATAGATGTGCTGCTGGTTCCTACTGCCTTAGTGCAGCACCCTGCACTTGTCAGTATTGAATCCCATCCTATTTTAATTTGCCCACCCCTGTAACCTGTCCAGGTCCCGCTGTAATCTGTCTTTCCCTTCCCTGTATGCCTTTCATACAGGATCTTAAGACATTGGCTTAGGATGAGGGGGAAATATCCCTTTATCATCAGGGGAAATAGTAAAACGCTGGATAACTGAATTATAAAACCACATGTATGAAGTGTATGGTAGACATTAAACAGAACTCGGGTTTCTTTTCCCTCTTTCTCTGTTCTGACCACTAATGCTTGCTCTCTTGTCTTAAATTTTAACATTTGAACTGCTATTTGAACAAAAGAGTATATGAAATACTGTATTTTTCTGAATCCAAGATGATCCCCCTCACAGTGGTTAGATTTTCTACATGGAAAATGTATAAGTTTGTTAGAATTTTCTAGGTATAGAATCTAATTATTGGAGGGCTGTCTTAAATTAATTCCTGCCCACTTCTACAGCAAGGAAAGTAGTGGCCGGGGGTGGGGAGGGGTCAGATAGCTGTTGGGGCCAGGGAGCACCCTGGTCCTCTGCCTCACCCCCTGCTTTTCCCTTCTGCAGCCCCCATCCCCATCTCTCTACAGCCTCTTCCACTCTTCCCCACCCACTTTCCACCATCTCTGCCTCTTCTCCCCCCACCTTACTGTCAGATGCTGCTTGAGCTTTATTTCCTCCTGGCTCATGGAGCACAGCCACTGCCTGGCCGCATAGCAGTATTTGCACTGCTGATTGTCTGGGCAGGGGATGGAGAAGGGACAGTGCTCTGTGCCTGGGAGGAAATCCAACCTGAGCCAGAGCCAAGCCATGCTTGACAGTAAGGGGAGGAATGGGGCAAATCGAGGACAGAAGCTGCAGAGGAGTGGAGGTGGGGGCAAGCAGCTGCTGTGAGCCTGACTCTGGCCCTGACTTGGCTTGGGGCCAGTCAGAGCTGCAGCAGTCACCTGTTCCCCACCCCTCTGTTTTGTACATGAATCTAAGACCCCAGGGGCTTTTCCCCACCATGCTGTTGGAGGGGTGGGGGCACCTCATCTTAAATTTGAGTAAATGTGGTATTTACAATGCATTTCATCCAGATATTGACTTGTTAGGTTTTCAGTCACAACATTGAAAATTTCAGTGAGTTAAACATCTTAGTTGATTTTATTTTTGTTTTATTTGTATAGTTCACGAGAGACTATTACAGTCAAGTCAGTTAAAAAAGAAGTGGAGAAGAAACTCCGATATCTGCTTGCAGACTTGCCACTACCACCTGAGTTGCCTGGAGGAGATGACCTATCCAAAAGTCCCGAGGAAAAGAAACCAGCAGTTCAGACACACAGCAAAAGGAGGCCTAAGTAAGTGTGTACTAGTTCCCTATAAAAACAGTCTGGTTGCATAGAATTAAAGTGGTAAGTTTCCCTATAGTATACTAATGTGGAATAGATGACATTTGTCTGGCTTTTCATATCTGTTTAATATAAGAGATGAAAAAGATTTGACTCAAGATTTGTTCCCATTCTGTTGATCTGTCTGGTCTTTTTTACATGATCGTGAATACTTTTTTTTCTTTTGAATCCTCTTCAGAGACAATCCTTGGGAGCTCTGGCCCTACGTGGGGAAGAATTGATGACACTTTACCTCCTAGTTTCCTATTTGCATCTTCTGCCCTAAGTTCTGTTCAGTTCTATCCCCTCATTTATGCCTGCTTAGCTGTGCACATCACTGAGGGACTGGGTTAGCAGAAAGGACAGGCAGAGAGAGGAACTTTTTGGAAAATATCTGTTGATGAGCAGCCAGAAATGTGTGTTTGAGATTAGATGTGTGTGTTAACCCAGGTCTGGCTTAAAACTTCTTTGACTTTTATATCCTCCCTTAAAACATTTTCTTCTCAGAAATTCATTTTTGCTCTTAAACTACCCAGAAAGAATCAGTGCTATGGCCAGTTAATTGTTCCTTTCTTTGCATTCCACCCCCTCCCTCCCTCCCATCCTTTTGCCTCTTATGGGCAAGAATAATGCCCCTGCAACACCCAGGAGCAAGTGGTAGCTGTTGAATTGCATGTTTCGCTTTGTAGTTTAAATGGGATGGTATCTTTAGGTCAGTAAAAGATGTCTTGCATGGACAGACACTGGCAAAACTGTTTCCAAAATGTAGTTAGAAGATTAAATATATTTTTAAATTCCAATGGAAGTCAGTTTTAAACAGACAGATGTTCGTTTGTTTGTTTGTTTTTTCAGATTACAAATTTGAAAAATATATAGCAGCTTTGTGGTAATCTGGGTCTGTCCAACCCTGGCTACACACCACATGGTTGCACAGCCCCTGCATGCTATGCCACATGGGTCCAAATCTGCTGTGCTGCAGTGGGCAGTCCCCACCATGATGCACTGATGACTGCACTGCACAGGATCCCCTAAGTTTCCTTGCCATGGACTCCCTCTGCCCTGCACATCAAACTGTGCTGCCCTATCATCAGAGGCAGGAAGCAGAAGCTGGGGGGGGGGAGAGGAGGAACTCAAGATTGCAGTGGTAGCAGCAGCAGGAGAAAAATGGAGAAGTAGCATCCAGACTGGGAGACTAACCCCTTGGGGGCCACCAGTTGGACAGCCCTATGTTACAGGGCTGTGAAAAGCTTTGGTTGCCAATTCGATTCAGAGGAGATTTGGCCCGATTCAGCAGGCGAATCTCTGAATCCGAATCGAATTGGGAGACCCATTAAAAGGCCTGAATTGAATCCAAAGCCTCCGAATCAATTTGGAAAAAATTCAGAGAGATTCGGATTGGCATGGGAGAGGCAGGCACAGCCAGGCAGCTGCAGGTTCTCCTGCGGCTCCTCGGGCAGTGGGAGCTGTAGGAGAAGCCCCCATGGCTGTCCTGCTCGGCCCCATCCCCTGCCTGGCCCAGCCTCCTGGTGCTGCATGGGGGGGCTCTGCCACGAGTTCCAGAGGGCCCTGATCCCCGCTGCCAGAGCTGGTGAGTGTGAGGCTTTTTTTTAAGTGCTGGGAGGGGACAGGGGCTTCTCCTGCGGCTTCCCCCCACCAGGGAAGAGGCAGGCACAGCTGAAGGAGCTGTGGGAGAAGCCCCCATGGCTGCCCTGCCCAGTCCGAGCCTCCCAGCACTTAAATAAGCCCCACACTCACTGGCTGTAGCAGCAGTAATCAGGGCCTCTGAGGGCTCTTGGCAGAGCCTGGCCATGCAGCGGGGAGCTTGGCATTGCTCAGCCCCAGCTCCCAAATAGTGCACAGCGCCCTGCCTAGCTACGCTGCACCTGTGCCATGGGGCAGCTGGTGTGCAGGTACCAGGCAGGAGGCAATCCCCATGCTACCCTGTGCTGCACAGGGCCCTGATCAGAGGCCCTGATCCTTGCTTCTGTAGCTGGTGAGTTTCGGGGCTTTTATTTTAAAGTGTCAGGCGGGGTACGGGGCCTGGCAGGGCAGCCATGGGGGCTTCTCCCGTGGTTCTCCCCGGCTGATCCAAATCTCTGAATCAGCACCGATCCTCCGATTCTGCTTTGGCCCAGTCGAATTGCTGTCCTCCGAATCGGCCAAATCAAATACTTCCCTATTCACACAGGCCTACTATGTTAATATATGGGAAATGGAAAGTGAAACTGTCTTGAAAGAGAAATTAAACTAAAATTAACTAAATAGTTTCATTTTCCAAGTTGGGAGAAATAAAGAACATGAATATTGAAAGTTGGATTATTTTGGGTCTTACAGCTCTTATTTTCTAAGAAACAGTAACGTGGGTAAGGAACCCTTGCTTTTTTATAAGTTCATCAAAGTTCAGATAAACACATTGTCATTAAAGATTAATTTTTAGAGCTTACTTCTATTTACCAGAATATGTGGCCCACGTCATGGTGAAACAAAGGAAAAAGAGATTGACTGGGGAAAACGCTGTGTGGATAAATTTGACATTATTGGGATTATTGGAGAAGGCACATATGGGCAAGTTTACAAGGCCAGGGATAAGGATACAGGTAAGATCTAAAAACATAATGAATGAGCATTGATTATAGAATTGTAGTATTACAGGAGTTTAATATGGATACCATGTATTTCTGCCACCTCAAGTGGCTGATTTCTTCACAGTTGTTCTTGTCTTTAATGCTGACAGTTCTTCATGGTAGGGCTATGTAAAATAGTGTGTCTGGGGAGCTGCTCAAAAAGTAAGCTGCACATTTTTGGCCAATTTGTTATTCTTGCCTTGAACACACTAAAAGTAAAGAGAGGAGGGGAGACAGACTCACAGAACAATAACCTTTGGATCTGTAGTTGTAACTGGCCTTGTACAGACTTTTGGTTTCTCCTTATATGGAGAAGATCCATGACTGTACAGATGTTCAGGCTTTTTCTCCCTGAGTAAAAATGGCTACTCTAGGAAAAAAATAACCTGGTAACAATCAAGGTTAAATCACTCTTGGGGGAGTTTCTCCAGGGAAAACAAATGTCTGCACATGCTGTGACTTCTCTCAAAAGCAAACATAGTCCTCCAGTATCCCCTCCCTTTCCCTACTGTGCTCTTACTGCTCCCAATCAGAGCTGCCCTATGCAGTGCTGCCATTTGTTGTCAGGCAGACTAAAGGAGCCTGCAGAGCATGCTGAGATGTGTGCATAACACCCCCCCCCC